AGTGGGGATGTTTCGCTGACCACGCGACACCCTCTATCAGCTAAAGTTGGCACTAACTTTGCCGACAATCGGTGCTCGCTCGGAAGGGGAAAGTTCACTTGCGGACACAAGCCACGGAGTTTGTTTTGTTTGTTTTTTCTTAGTTTATTTAACGACGGTTTGTCAGCTCCATAATTTGAATACCATAGACCATAGAGTATCAATGTCATAATCATTATACAAAAAGAGAATATGAGATTGATTCTTAGGTTTTTAACGACATTGTTTTAATGTAGAATTTACATAGTTTCGAATGAGATGGAAAGATGATTCTGAAATGTGGCCATGATCTATTTTAACGTACCACTTCGATATCCTCGTAGGGATTAAGGAAACCAGACAGAAATGTCAGACCAGACGACAGTGGTAGCTGGAACGCCACCCGGACAAGTGTAGAGCTCCATAGCTATACCGACTGTCTCTCTCACACACACACCCACACCAATCAAGAGAGTATGTAATATAAAGCACACACATCAACTGCTATTTATGTCTGGATGTTCGTTTGTAGCACATTACCGACACAATGACTTCGCCTTGTATTTCGTTAAATATTCACCGTAGGTAAACGATATCCATGGAGATCAGCCCTTCTTGAGAAGTCGCCAGCCGATAAGCTACTTAAGAATTTCCCAGTATTTTCTTTTTCGAACCCGAAGGTTTATTACCGTGTTCACAAGAGACCTCCACTGGTTTCTATCACGAGCCAGATCACATCACCCAATCCTGTCTCTCTAAGATCCATTTCAATAATATCCTCCCACCTACGTCTACTTCTTTTGAGTGGTCTCTTTCCTTATGGATTTCCGACTAAAATCCTATATGCAGTCCTCTTCTCCCCATACATGCTACATGCCCTGACCATCTCATCCTCCTTGACTTGATCATTCTAATTATACTTGGAGAAGAGTAGAAGTTATGAAACTCCTCATTGTGCGGTTTTCTCCAACCTCCCGTCACTTCATCCCTCTTCGGTCCAAATATTCTCCTCAACACCCTGTTCTCAAACACCCTGAGTCTATGTTCCTCCCTTAATGTCAGAGATCAAGTGTCACACCCACATAAAACCACAGGCAAAATTAGTTTAAAAAAAAGAAAGTTATCCCTGTCACAGGCCGTAGCGACCCATAGGGTTGTGAGACGTTGAGATTCTCATATTTTCTAGACAATCAGCTCACAGACGGAGCTGAAGTTGTCAGCCTTACGCACCGGCCGCCCTTTACCCCCCCCCCCCCAGGAANTTCCTCTTTTCTGTTAGAAGCTGAGTCGACCCCAGGGCCATAATGCAGCTGGAAGGATTAGTCAACTGAAAAACCCAATGGCCTCATCGGAAATCGAATCCGTGACCTTCCGGCTTGAAGCAAAATGCCCCAAAATTATAGTTTTCTATACCGAAACATAATTGAAATCAACATTTTAAAGGTCAGTTACATCTATAGCTTATGCGCCAATTATTTCACGGCTACCCACGTTTTGCGAAAATTTAAGTTTGCTTTCTGCGCCATGTATAATAGAGGTTATAACAATCTTGTAAAAGGCAAAGTTGGTACTGGAATCCACAGTGAGCCTCGGTAGCCTTGTGCATTTGTAACCGTCAGCCTTAGATGGTGGTGAATGGTTAGTGTCACGCCCCAGTGAATTTACCAAATTTACTTCCGGTACCCACCGAGAAAATGGCTGGGCTGAGCTTAGGATGCGAAGGGGAATAGAAGAAGCACTACCCGTAAGTATAGTTAACCAAGATTTTCCGTTCGTACAAATAACTGGCGAGTACGGATCACAACTGCATTCACACGAAAACTTTTACGGTAATGTAAAGTAAAGTAGCAGGCCGTGGAGGCCCATAGGGTAGTGAGATGTTGAGGTTCCACATTTTCTAGACAATCGGCCCATAGATGGCGGTAAGGTTGTCAGCCTTATGCGCCGGCCACTCTTTACCCCCAGGAATATTCCTGGTACTCATTTCTATTAGAGGCTGAGTCGACTCCAGGGCCATAGTGCGGCCGGAAGGATTATGTCAATTGAAAAAAAAATTCAATAACCTCATCGGGACCTGAACCCGAGACCTTCCGGCTTGTAGCATAGTGCCTCAACCAACTACGTTGCCGCGTGTCCCCCAATCAAATTTAATCTAAATCCGTAGATTAGTTTAGGAGATGAAGCAACACACACTACTTCACTATTATGCGTCCATTTTATTAGCTTCACGCAAAGAATACACCATAAGTCAAAAGAAGACAGCACAGTCTGTAACCTAATGCTGTACGTTGGTTTCGCACAGGGCCGGTCCGCCCCAGGGCACTCAGATGTTAGCTGCCTCTCGTTGGTGGTCCGGCTTACAGGCATGGGGAACTCATCAGGCTGAATGGCAAACACTGTTATTGTTAGCTCAGTGTGACACAACGCGACATATGGTAGCGATGTTGGTCTGCCCTCACAACTCCAGACCGCGTGACGCCCAAAATAAAATATTTCTCCCCACGTTGCAACTTCTTCTTAGAGGAGCTGATAGTTATTCAGCCGGTCAAGATATCGCTTCAGATTGTGACATCGTGTAGTTTTGTAGTGGGATACCGATGTTTCGGAGAAACATGGTGTCTTGTGTACAGCGAGGAAGTGGTTCGGCAGCAGGGAAGGACGTAAGGAAGGTGGTCACTCAGTCACAATGGAGGGGGTGAGCAAATGGAGTACGGGCTAGGTTAATTGGAACGGGTGATAGGAAGAAAGAGGTAGCATAAGTCTCCGAAACATCAGTGTCCGCATACATGACTACAATCTGAAGAGTCGCCGTCGCGAAGAAATGGCTTCCTTATGCGGAACCCGAGAGCTGTTACCGTCTTCATAATGGACCATATCCTGGGTTAGCCGAAAGCAGTACACATAACTCATAGCGTTTTAATACTTAGTGTGGCAGTCCAAACTTGTCACACTTCTGTGTGGACGCTATGGTCCTCTTCAGCCATTTCGGAAGGGTGACTGGTTTATTGGCGAGACCGATTTATTAGCATGTTATGACTTTTCTTCGTATGTGGACAGAAACAACTGCCTTGTTTTGTTTACATGCAGTTTGGATGGCCGGAAGGGGACAGGGTCACCACGGGAGGAAAGTCTGTAGTCTTCCGAAGAAGTGAATTTTGTTGTTGGCATGTGTAGCTGCCATAAAGTGTCTTCGGGAGGGTGTAGCTGGACACTAAACTAAAAAAAAAAAATAACCGCTCACACATATGGGGTTCCGAGTTCTGTATCTTGGGAATTGTTTTATTCCAAAGTTCGTTATGTGATTGGCTTGCCCAGACTGCATGATGAATTTGGCTTGTTGAAATCAGCCAATAGGAAATGAATTCTTGTCTGGGAGAGAGGCCGTGCATTCAAATCTTCCTCGGGGGATGAAGCGATGCTCCCTCAGGATAAGTCTTCGGAAACTGGGCTTATTTAATGATCAGGGCCAGACGTCACTGGACTGCACTCCTATATTTCTCTAAATTCATCAGTCATTCACTTTGAATCGTTAAATTTTATAATATTAAAGGACCATATTACTCAGTGCTTGCAAAGGAAGTTATAATATTTCGCTTCTGAATAAATAAAGAGTCTGTGGACAGTGGACCGTTCTAGAAAACCGAGATTAACGGCCGTGGGGATCCGTTGCGCTGACCACGTGACACCCTCTGTCCACAAAAGTTGGCACTAACTTCGTCAACAAGCGGGGGTCGCTCGGTGGGTATAGTTCGCTTGGGGACTCAATCCACGGAGTTTGATTTTTTTTTTTATGTATACAGTGGAAGTTGTATTGTTGATTTCGAGCAGTGGACTGGCTTCAAGTGTGCAGTTTCCGGTTGCCTCAGTTATTACCGTAACACGATCCTGATAGGAGTCCAGTGGGCTAGCGAAGCCGGCACATAAGTACAAAGAAAGAAGACGGGGACAGTAACATTACCTCTCATCTACATCTGCATCCTCTTGAGATATGTTGTTTAAAACTGTGTACGCATGCGCGAGAATGATTCGCCCCCACCCCCCGGGTTCTTTTCTTCACATTCTCCTTGACATAATCCCCTTAATAGGGCCAACACCGTGAAGCTTGTCGTTGTTTAATTTCCTCTAACCTCCTACTTGGTTCACCTTTTCTTTCGTGGGTCCAAGTATTCATCTCAGCGCCCAATTCCCAGACACTTTCAACGTTACTTTCCTGAGCAGGAAGACCGCCTCTGCGTTCTTGCGGTCAGAGTTTCTGGACGTCATATACGTAGCACGTCACAGAATGATAAAACGAAGAGCTGAGTAAACTCAGGAATGCATACAGGATTAACTCCGAGGGGAGAACAGAGGTGGCACATGGAAAACAAAATGTTGGGGATAATACTCAGATGTGTGAGACACGAACTCATGGGGAAGAGAGAAAAATACAAAATCAGAACTCTTACTTTTAACTTTCAATATACTGTTAGGGTGACAAACTTGTCTAGAAAACCGAAATTAACGGCAGTGGGGATTCGCTGCACTGACCACGCGACACCCTCTATCCACTAAATTTGACACCGACTTTGCCGACAAGCGGCGATTACTCGGTCGGCATAGTTCGCTTGCGGATTATAGACCACGGAGTTTAAATCTGCGAGAAGAAAGAGGATGGCTATTTTTACCCGGAAGAAAGTTTTGAGTGTTATTTGCAAGCAAACAAACGGTGCTGGAGACCAATACAAAAGTAAAGATTACTGTGTTATGGAGTGCGAGGTGGCGTAATCCTGCAAACATGTACCTACACGTATCTATGAAACTACGCGGTGACAAATCACAGTCCATTATGTTCTTCATATTCATTGCCTCGAGGACAACAAACCTCAAATAGTAAAAGACGAGACATAGTTCAGTTTGTTAGAATGTTACAAATGTTTTGGAGTAACATGCTACCTCCATCTTCAAGGTACAGTAGTCAACTTACCTTATGGTGAGGACGGAGGCACTTTCGTAAATTTCTTCAGGTTACAAGAATAAACCCTGAAGAAGAAGGCACCTTCGAGACAATCAATACGTTCTGTCCGACTACGTGGTATCACTCCTCTGTAGACTGGAGCCTTCATTTCATTCACCACCACGAAAACCTGAAATTACACAACATTACGAGGAATTTATAAAACGTCATTACGTCTGATACTAGTAGATAGCGCTGAAAATGTGCTGTGTTCTTCGAACTTAAGAGTAGTGTAAAGTAAAAGTCAAAAAGTAAAGGTATCCCTGTAAGAGACCGTGGAGGCCCATAGGGTTTTGAATGTTGAGGTTCCCACATTTTCTAGAAAATCGGCTCATATATGGTGGTAACATTGTCAGCCTTACGCTCCGGCCGCGGGGTCACGCGGTAGCGTAGTTGGTTGAGGCACTATGCTACAAGTCGGAAGGTCGCGGGATCGAATCCCGATGAGGCGGATTTTTTCAATGTACCTAATCCTTCCAGCCGCACTATGGCCCTGGGGTTGAGTAAGCCTCTAACAGAAATGAGTACCAGGAATATTCCTTGGGGGTAAAGGGCGGCCGGTGCGTAAGGTTGACAATCTTACCGCCATCTATGAGCCGATTGTCTAGAAAATGTGAGAAGTTCTACATCTCACAACCGTATGGGCCTCCACGGCCTTTTACAGGGACAGCTTCACTTGCTTAACTTTTTTACTGTCTTCATATATTTAGACTGTTGTTACAACTCAGTTGGTACAACAACTATGCTACGGACCGGATGGCCGAGGAGTCTGAGTTCGATTCCCGGCAGGGGTAAAAATTTTTCTTCTCCATAACGTCGAGACCGGCTCTGGGGGCCCACCCAGGCCCCTATCCAATGGGTACCATAAGATCTCTCCCCGGGTGTAAAGCGGCCGAGGCGTGAAGCTGACCACTTAAAATGTATCCAATAACGAGTTCAAGAATGCGAAAGCTATACCTTCACTCCCCCTATACGCCTTCGTGATGTGGTGCTTAATTACTCAAGCACAGGGACAACTTTACTTTTATCTTACCTTGACAACTGTTAACATATTGCGTTAAGGTTATTCAGAATAGTCATATTTGATTTTCTATCCTATCTTTCTCCCTCTATCAATGTGTTAATTTTTCTATAATCTGCACTGCATCATCATCATCATCATCGTCCTTCTCCCCCTCCTTCTCCTCCTCCTCTTGACTAAATGGCTTACTTAGGCCTGTTAAGGAATCCGTTAGAAGATATCTTTTTCTTTTGGCTGATATCTTCAGATGTCTTTTGGAATCATGCCAGAGTGTGTCTGTCAGTGTCTGTTGTCTTCATTTTCTTCTGCATTGTTCTACAAATTGTTACTTGAGGAACGTGTAGTCCTCTCACAATTCCTTCCTTTCATTCAGAGCCCGTACAGCTCAGGAATGGAATTTCGGCTCATATCCAGTGGCGGTATGTTCGTGTTATTCCTCTCAGACGAGCTAACACTTTGAAAAATGAAATAAAAATGCCACTTTCGTTGTTCAATGGTATGCCACATGGTGGCAGGAGAAGTGATCGGATAACCCACTGTTTGCCATATACTCTTACCCAATCATAGCCTTGTTAACCGTTTCCCTGTGGCATACGTTGGCCGTTTCTGGGTTCATGCGCAATTAGAAGAGAGACTATGTAGTATGGGCTTGAGGTGAGGAGGGCGTGCATGGCATTCCAAGCTACCGTATGCTCCAAATGTTAGCCAAACTGGAGGTGCCAACACGCTTCATTTGCTTGCTGCTTGCAGAGAACGCAGTCTAGGATGGGACGGGGAAACACTAGAGAACATCGCGACAATCTTCAAGATTTTGAATTATGTTTTTATTTGAAGGTGTTTTCAGGAGTACTGACCGCCTCTGTGGTCTAGTGGTCAGAGTTCCTGGGTTCGATTCAAGAAGCTACCAGATTTTTTGAGAAGTAGTGGGTCTGGAACGGGGTTTCTTCAGCCTCGTGAGGATCATTGAGGAGCTATTTTAAGGAAATAGCGGGTCTGCTCTACAAAACCGAGATTAACGACCCTGGGGATCCGTTGCGCTGATCACGCGACACCCTCTATCCGCTAAAGTTAGCACTAACTTAGCCGACAAGCGGCGGTCTCTCGGTCGGTATAGTTCGCTTGCGGACTAGAGTCATGGAGGTTGTTTTGTATGGCTCAGGAGTACTTATGGAGGCAAACGGTTTTCATATACGTATTATACAAACCAAAAGTATCTACATCAGTTACTATTACAAAGAAAATGGAAGAATTTCAGAATTTTTGGCAGAGAAACGCAAGAGTTTTGAAAAGTCTGGTCAGAAAATGACAGTTACTCGTAGGAAGACAGAATACTCAGTACTGCTGGCTAATGGACAACGAATGTCAGTGAATAGTACAGATCGGAAAGTTCTTATTGTTGCCTTTACTGTGGAATGGTAGACACTATTAAGAAAAAATTTCAATCGAGTCTCCGAAATTCCCAAGCTAATATTACGAGTACTTTCACGCCTAGAATTTGGTACCTATAAACGCCATCTTGAAAATGCGGCTACTGCTTAAGGGTCGTAGTTGAGATCATACGTAAGATATTTTGATCATCTTCTTCTGAAAATTCTACTTTCCGTTATTTATTCGCCGAAGGAAATTTGACGAAGTAATATTTCAAACCTAAAATATTTTATTCCTTCGATTCTGAATTCTGCATTACCTGAGGTAGTAAAATTATCTGCTGTATTATTAATTCTGTCTATAGCCTCACACAAGTTAGTACGTCTTAATACTAAGAAATACTGGGTTTTCGGACTTTGTCCACCGTCCAGTATTCTACAAATCAGATAACACAACGTTTCGGAAACTGGATCTGCTTCCGTCCTCAGGTGATGGGGTCCCTTACAAGGAGGTAACCTCAGTCACTGGACAACCCATGTCAGTATAACTACAGATATTTAAATATATGAGACCAGGCTCTGCTGAAGGGACATAATAGGAAAATATGAAATAATCTCCCTTCGAATTAGCCTGGTCTCAGGTAATTTAAATAGCTGTAGTAAATGCTGTGATTAAGGTTACCTCTTTCTAAGGGACCCAACACAGTGGGTGTCTTCCCCCATCACCTGAGGATGGAAACGGATGCAGTTTCCGAAACGTCGTGTTTTCCAGTCATTCTGAGTGTTATACGCCATCGTCAGAACCCTCTAGGACCTACTAGTATGTAACCACGTGGAAAATGTTGGGAAATAAGAGGCACTAACCAATACCTAAGGTGAATTCCAAGTGAGAATACTTTGGATACCCCTGCAGCGAAGGTAACACATCCAGCTAAAGAGCAACAAACGAAGTCTTCATTCTCATATAAAGTTAACACGGCGAAACAATAACAACACCTTTCATTAAGCATACTTTGTAGCATCAAAATGAAACTCGAAGGACGACTAAATGTGATAGCAATTCTGCTAAGAAAATGACTTGAGTAAACTATTTCTCTCAAGAGATTTGATAAGTTTTATGAAATTCCATTCCTCTGTTCGCTCATGTAAGTTTACAAAGTAGTCAAAGAGTACCTACAAAAACTTCCATTGTGTGAAATAATGTAGAGGAGGATTGGCAGTCAGTTTTAAACTTTTCTGCCGTGAAAGCAGAAGGAGTTCATTCTTGTATTTGAAATGTACTTTCAATTACTTCTGGTGTTCTCGAATGACGAATGTTTTGAAATGTGTATTAATAAACTAGTAACACGTGGTCTGGCAATAAAGTTCCTGGACTGATGTGAAAAAAAATACAAGGAAATCAAAAATGGTTTTATTTCTATTCAATGTGATCTCCGTTTGCTTCAATACATGTATTGAATAGTTCAAGAAGTTTTTTAAAACAGTCGACAAAGGCCTCCAAGGAAAACAGCGTTCAATTCAGCTGTTATGTTCTCCTTAATGTCTTCAACATCCTTAAACCTTCTTTCTTTGAGCGCAGGTTTCACCTCGCTCACTTACTTACTTACTTACGGAGCCGAGCCCTTCTTGAGGAAAAGCCAAATCTGCAGCTACTCAATAACTTCCCAGCATTTTATGGAACCCGAAGGTTCATTACCGTGCTCAGAAGAGCCTTCCACTGGTCCCTATCCTGAGCCAGATCAATGTAATCCATACCATCCTATCTCTCTAATATCCACTTTTATATTGTCCACCCACCTACGACTTGGTCTTCACAGTGGTCTCTTTCCTTCTGGCTTTCCCACCAATATCCTATATTCATTCCTCTTCTCCCCCATTCGTGCTACATGCCCTGCCCACCTCGTCCTTCTTGACTTGATCATTCTAATTATACTTGGAGAAGAGTACAAGTTATGAAGCTCCTCATTATGCAGTTTTCTCCAACCTCCTGTCACCATCTCTCTTCGGTCCAAATATTCTCCTCAACACCCTGTTCTCAAACACCCTCAGTCTATGTTCCTCCCTTAATGTCAAAGTCAAAGCTTCACATCCATACAGAACCATAGGAAATTCTAATTTTCAGCTTAGGAAAGAGAAGATGCAATCAAGAAAATTGGGATTGTCTTGCCAAGTCCAGTTGAAGTATTGGTATGATGTGAATATCCGTTCTTTCTGTTCATCCGTGAGTCTGTGTGCCACGAACTTCGTGCAGATTTTCCTCTTCCGTAAATCTTCATGGAGGAATTTCAAGAATCGTCTCCTTATTGATGTTTAATTCATCCGTCGTGATTCCGAGAGCCTACCGGAGATCTCGCGACACCATTTCACGGACATTTGCGATTGTGTCTGCATTTGGGTCTTCCTGAAGATACCGACGCTTGTCTTTAAATCGTCTAAACCAATCAAATCCACTGCTACTACTTTAGACTTCACCATCACACACAATTTGAAACATTTCATAAGTTTCTATTTGTGTTTTACAAAGTAGGTATTCATTCGTTGCTCCAGGACTAAAAAAGTGACAGCAGTTAAGAACACAACTAACTCACTGAGCTATTACACATGAATTATCAGTGACTGGATTTGGTGACACCTGCCAATGGTTGGTAAGGGGCAGAACTATGTGCAGCTGGCAGTTGTTCGTTTCATCAGCACCTAGTGTGAATGTTGCAGCAGTCCGGGAACTTTATTGCCAGATCACGT